TCACTTTTTACCACAACTGCGCAGGAGTCTGCACTCAAGGTGTCTAATGTGGTTGAACTTCAGCTCAAGTAAGTGTATTTTTTGTTTGCTTTAAATGTTTTGTATTCTTATTCATTAAACAAGAATACAACTGTTATACATGCATTTGAGCATACAGTATTTTAAGTTATTGAACTGTACAATAGTTTGATAAACATGCAAACATTTTTAAAATGACAGTTTAATTACATTTGGTTAAGTGTGGAGCACTTTGTTACCCTCTGGTAGTGTCAACAAAAACATATGGTCCTTTCCATCTCTTAAGTTGTCCATCCCTGACATAAATGGTTTAACTAGTGAACGAGGGGTACGTTTAGCCAGTCAATTGCTGATGGGTAGCTAAAAAATATATATATCTAATTTTACAATAAATTGACATTTGAGGTTTAGTAGTGAAGATGAACATATTGCTTGGTTTCATTAGAGGTTTGAAGAATTTTTTTTTAAATAACATTGACATTTTAATATAAACAGTATTTGTTCTTTAACGACAGCAGCTTGATGACTAAGCAAAGTTCATTTAAATGTTAACAGTTGTTCTGAATGACTGAATGAGGGTTTCCCCCTGTTCCAGTGAAAGGGGAAGTTGGATGGAGGTGTCGTACTGAGCGGTGACTGACTGAATGGGGCATTTTGCACGGCACGCTTCCTCTTCACTGGGTCGCTGAACTGCAGCCTACAAACTGACTCAGACAGCAAATGGAGTAAATTTATGATGTAACATGAAACGCTAGGAATTTTCTTCGCACAAAACGTAAAAAAAGTGTTGTGAAACCACCTGAACGAACAATCAGAGGAACACAAGATGCATAATGACTGTGTGGAGTTTCCACACAACAGACATCAGCCACATAATAACTCAAAGGTAAACTGATCTCAAATGTTAAAGAAAATACATCCTTATTCAGAATGATTGCTGAAAAGTGCAGCATACAAATACAGGAAGTCAAATCTAAAACAGAAAAACCAAACTTTGATGGAAATGTACAATTAGAATATGGAGAACTGTTTGATTAACAGAAATATGTTTAACATAAAGACAAATATTTTCATTCAAACATTAACTTTTCCATACAATAATTTTATTMATACCTTTCAGAATTGACCATGTTGTTTAAAAGTTACATGTATGGATTGAGTCAACAGATTCCTTTACGACTGACTTTTTACCCTTATTGGTGGTGGTTGAACTGATTTTTTATTACTTGTTTATTTTTGTTTGACTGAAAAGTCTAATTCATGTAGTGAATGTCAAAAACAAATCCACCAATCCATCCATCCATCCCATTATCGTAACCCGCTTCTTCTTTCCAGGGTCACGGGGGTCACTGGTGCGAGGAGCTGGGTACTCCCTGGACAGGTCGCAAGTCCATCCCAGGGTCACAAAAACAAATCTCCCAATATTTATTAAAACAACAATTTAAACCAAAGACAGTAATTTTAATTCTTCTACAGACTTGGATGTTGTTGGTATTCTTCCTAAATTGACAAAACTTCAAGGTTTTAACCTGGGTCTCTTGTCAACTAATAACGGTAATAGAAGAAAAATATTTCCTTTGGGAAAAATAGATTTTCATTCTATAAATGTTTTAACATCCAGACCTTATCTTAACTAGACATGTAAAATCAAGTCTACAATAATTTTTATCTTTAACTGTTTTATAAACCTTTAGTGCTTCATCTTGTTGTTAATTTTACCATTTTTATTCATGATACAATGAAATTGATTCTTGCTATATCTTTGTAATAATTTACCATTAAAGACAAAGCTGGTTCCTCATCTTTGAGTAGTTTGGCCTGAGATAAGAATTCTCTGCATATCTTATGATCAATCACYCCTCGGTAAATARGAGTCTGKRTAAAAAGGTTAAATAAATGTTGGTCAGTAACTAACCTGGTGCCCCAACAGGTAAAAGTGTAGTGCAGGACAGAAATAGTTAATCACCCTTTCTGTTTCTCTCCTAACAACTCACTACAGTATCCTTACAGTCTTATCTCTGTTAAAAAGTGATTCAGTTATAAAAAAAATTATGCCCTTATGTGATAGAGTACCAACAATTTGGAAAAAGAAATTATTTGTAATTTATTTTGCAAAGATATWCTAAAATGTTGTGGGCAGATATGTTGATACTCTTAAAGTGTATCTTACCCCCCGTGAAAAGATAACTCTGCCCCAAGGCGAAATTTGAAAAATGCATCAAAGTGGGTAGGGGAGGGTGTGTGTGTGTG